CCCACCACCTGTTGGCATCTTCTTTTCCACACTGTCCATAACGTGTAGAGCCTCAGCAGCTGAAAAATACATTTTTGACTTGATTTCCATCCCTTAGGTGCTTCAGTTCCGATTAGAAGCCGACCCCTGATCGATGGGAAGGGAGCATCCATAACTCGAGCCCAAAGTGTACGAGCTAATGCCCATACCTGCTCCGCTTCCGGACAAGAGAGTAAATAGTGAACCATAGTTTCCGGTATCCCCCCCGTACACATGGAGCAGTTTTGCTCCTCGACCCTATTTCCTTTTTCCATGCAGCCAAGAGTTTACTGGGAGGGCCACGTGAAATATGAGCCACTGCAGACTTCTGACCTTGCCCAGTCTTATACTTTGTAATGTTGACCAAGGTAGTTTCCCCACCTGCTCTCTTGGTATTCCCTCCTGCTTTTCCCATCTTATTGCCAAGGGGAGATCTAACTGGGTCGATCTCTCAATGACTGTACGTTCTATTCAGGGGAACATGGTAGATTTGTACACCGTTCAACCTACAACGAGCTTTAATGTGCGTTTCTGTCTTGACCTTTGTCAAAACTTTTTCCTTCCTCGTTCCTTCTTTCGTTTCCTGACGGTCCCGTTGGGCTTGTGAATGGCAGGGTAACCTCGGCCGAAGCGGACAAACGAGCAGATGAAGCAGAGGCACGTGCAAAAGAGGCAGTTGCTGCAGCAGAAGCTCTTGGTCTTGTCGTAGATGGCCCTTGCAGGAGTTCTTCAGGTACCCTCCTTCCTGGCGTGCGCTTGAAGGATGTAATCATCAGCAGCATGATGTCGGCAGTTGAAGTCGAAAGGGAGGTGGTTGTTGCTCTCAAGGCCGTATTGATGAAGCAAGGTTTGCTCGGTGCGCCTGATCTAGAGAGTGCACGTTCGGTAGAGACGCAGGGTGGTGGCTGCAAAGAAGCAGGAAGAGAGCAGCAGGGTAAAGAGCAGAAGGCAATTTCGTCTCTGCTGGATGCATCTAAGGCAAGGCACGTGCGAAATGCTGCAGAGGAGGGATGCACCGATGAGGTTAGCCGTCTTGCACTACAGTTTGCGGCTTTGCCTACAGGAGGAGAGGATCGTACAGGGAGCATGAACGTAACTCGTGAACTGGAGGAAGGCTTGGCAAACCTGGCGATCAACGAGGAACGCCCGCTGTTGGAAATAGCTACAGAATCACGTCAGAAAAAGACAGAAAGGGCGTGCTCAGGACGATTTGGCATGGAATCAGAGAGCTTCGTCGTAGATCCCATGAGGTCATTGGCGTGTGACAGTGTCAATGCAATGGGAGGGACTTTGGAATCGAACAAGGAGGGGGTTGAGAAAACAGAGGGGGGGGTGTTGGGTGAATTCTCTGAGGGGAACTTGAAGAGAGGGGGACATGAAACGCAAGAAAATGAAGCAATTTTGTGCGCTTTGGCATTGAAAGAGGAGGGGGTCGGTAAAGCAGAGGTGCAGACGTTAAGGTTATCTTCCAAGGAAGACTCCTTGGAGACAGGGTTGCATGTGAATGAGGGAACACTGTGCGAGAAAGATTTGTCCGGAACCAAAGATGATGGTTTTGTTGTAGGTCCGTCATGCCAGGAGCCAATTGGCTCTGATGGAGGGAAGGGTGTTTTAGAGGAAAAACGAGCAATGGTTGCAGCAGGAGAGGCAGTAAGAGATTCCAGAAGCTTGAAGGTCGAGGCAGAACTCGACCCATCAATGTCTACTGCTGAATGTGGCGATCACAGAGTGGACGAAGAGGTTCCGGTAGCCAGTGGACTCTGTACTGGAGGGGGAGAACAACACGAACAGGAAGTCAAGGAGGGGTTTATGAACATAGTGGGTAGCGAGGGAGTACGTCCCACTGCTCAAGTTGATGAAGATGAGGAGGGTGGTGAAGGTTGTGGTAAACATACAAAAGAGGCGCCGGCTGCCAGTGAACTGTGTCTCGAAGGAGGAAGAGGACAATATGAAGGGGGGTTGAAGGAAGGGTCTATGAGTAAAGAGGGTAGCGATGGAGCTCATCCTGCTTCTCCAGGTGGTGGGGGCAATGAACAAGAGGGCGGCGATGGTACTGTGTGGATGACACCTCCTGTGCGCACGAAGCGTAAGGGACGGCGACATGCGGGCCGTCGACTGTATAGGTACCGGGTGCCCAAATGCTTGTTGGCTTCCCTGGACGATTTTTACGAGCAGTGTCTGATCAACTTCCATGATGTGGAGGAAGGGGATGAGGTCTTGTACGTGACGCCAGGAAACGATAAGTTAAGTATACGGTTCTCCAAAGACGGTCTCATATTGGCAGATGCAGCCCCTCGAGCTGCAGCGGTCGAGAGTAATGAAAAGGTAGGGGATAGTGACGCCCAGGACGACGATAGCGAGTACGTCTACTTAGAGAGTTTTCCTGGAGAAGGGATTCTGGCGTTTGGAGAACAGCAGGAGGGTTCTACATCCGACGGGGAAGATGAGGGTGAGGAAGATGACGAAGAGGATGATGAAGGGGGTGAGTTGCAGATGGGTCAAGATGAAGGTTTGGTAAGGGTTGGTCATGATAGTGTGCCTTTGGAAATGGTGAAACTGATGACTCTGAGGATCGCAAAGTTCAATGCGGAACAGCTGGCTGCCATTGCCTCTGTGGTGGTAACCCGTGGAGTGGGAGACATAATGAAGATCCTTGAGATGGGCAACAGTCCACAGAATGACAACGACGGAGATGGGTTAACAACAAATAACAAGAAAGTTGCAGATGAGAATGTGGGAAGCAGCCTAGGAGATATCTTGGTGAAAAAAGTGTCACGGCTCGAGATCGAGAAAGCAGAAGCAATTGCAAAATCAGTGAAGGAAGGCGATCATCATCGTGCAAAGCCCGGTGCCAATAGGAGAAGTGCAGATGCGGATACCGCGTGTGGAGGTGGGCTGGGAGACATATTGGTTAAGAAAATGTCACGGCTTGAAATTGAGAAAGCGGAAGCAATAGCGAAATCGGCAATCCAAGGCAATGGTCATCGCACAAAGGTGGGGGCAAGCAGGAAGGACCTGTGTGGAAATGCGCATTCAGGAGGTGGGTTGGAAAGTATTTTGGTGAAGAAAATGTCTCGTTTGGAGAGGGAGAAGGCCGAGGCAGCTGCGAGAGCTGCGGCGCAAGCGGAAGGCCAACCTGGAAGCCTTGGTAGGAAGCAGGAAGGTGTGGGTAGAGGGAAGAAGGTAGAGTGCATGCCAAGCTTGGACAGCATGCTAACGAAAAAACACGTTCCCAGGTTCCAGGCTGAGTTAGAGCGCGCGAAGCAGACTGCAAAATGCTTGCAGCAGGCCGAAGCTAAGAAGGAAGTGGGTAAAGCACCTTTCAGGGCGAGGACTAGCAGACAGACATGCGAGGAGGGCAGCGGTCTTGGGGATGTACTTGTAAAACATGTGTCAAAGCTGCAGAAGGAGAAAAATGCAGCCGCCCAAAGCCGAGGGAAGATGACACCTCCATTACCAAGAAGTTCGACGGCAAGCCCTCTGAGAAAGAAGGTCAGGACTAGTGGTGGGGATTTTGATGGCAAGGGCTTGGGGGACATCCTGCCAAAGCGTAGTGGGATCAAGGCAAAAAAGGAGGACAAGACAACTACAGAACCTGCAGATCCTGGGCAGCACCAGCTTGGCGATGGCGTAAGCCAAGAATGTGGCGGAGGGGAGAACGGGAGCAGTGCGTGCATTGAAGGTCCCCATGACACAAAAGCAGCAGTGCAGCAACCGGCGGAAGGGGTCTTGGCAGATGAAGAATCTGGTGGACGGGAGAGGGGTAGCAGCGTGTGCATTGAAGATCCCCATGACACAAAGCCATCAGTGCAGCAACCGGTGGAAGGGGTCTCGGCAGATGAAGAACGTGTATGTAGCGAGTCACCGCAAGATGCCCCTGTAGAAAAGGAACTGGAGTCGGACAGTAAAGTGGAGCATTCGGGGCAGAGTGCTGGCACACCAAGCGTAACTGGGAGGACTGTTGGCACCAAGAGTGGACGTAAGGCATTTCAGCAGTCCGCTGCTATGGGCTCTCTTTCAGACATCCTAGTGAGAAGGAAGTCTAGATTGGAGATGGAGGTAGAAGCAGCTGCCTTGGCATCAGCGAAGGATGCCACAAGGCAGCCAGTTGCTGTGAGGAGTCCTCGAGGATCTGCGGGCAGCAGGTCTTATAGAGTGAAAAGCGGCAAAGCGGGCGATGACGCAGCTGCAGGAAGTGGTCTTGGAGACATCCTTGTCAAGAGTACGTCAAGATTGGAAAGGGAAAAACTCGCATGTGCGGCAGAAGCTCGAAAATCTGCGGAAAGTGGTTTGGGAGTTGATAGATCGCAAAATGGGGCTGTGAAAGTGGGAGGCGCTGGCCGTTTGGCACGCAAAAGTTTGTCAGATTCTAATGATTACAATTCCAAGAGCTTGGATGAAGTTTTGGTGAAGCGGAGGACAAGGCTGGAGGAGGAGATCTTAGCAGCTTCCTTGGCGAGGGGAACGAGAGATGAAAAGCGAAATCAGCGAGGCTCAAGCGGTAGGAAGCAAGTTCCCGTTGATAACAACTTACCTGGACTGAGCACATACTTGGTGAAAACACCGACGAAGTTGGAGAGGGAGGTAGAGGCTGTGCGACTTGGATATCCTGTCGATGACACTCATGCCGTTCAGCATCATGGAGATTGCTCCCCATCTGAGAACCCCCTGATGAAGGCTCCCAGCACGCCAACTGAATCGTGTGTTGTTGACAAGGATTCCAGTCATCTGGCAAGTGTCAACACACCTGCTCATGAAGAGAAGGAGAACAGCTCAGCTGAGAAGCTTGTCACCAACAGCTCGGCGCTTCAGAAAGTTGATGAAAAAGAGGTGAATGTGCTTGATAGAGTGTCTGGGGCTCCTTCCACCAAAGTCAATGCCAAACCTAGGTTGTCTGTCGGAGATGGGCAGTCCAGTGTTCAACCACCGTCAAGTGCTACTGGTCCAAGACGGGGAAGAAGAGCGGACTCGGAGGCTGACGTTTGGGGAGGGATCAGTCTGGACACAATGAAGAAGCACAAGTCGAGGCTTCAGCGTGAGCAGGTATGTCTCTTTGAGGGATAGAGGGATAGAGGGACACGTTTTGTGTGTGTCAGTATGGAAAGTGTTGTCCCATGCTTGTGATGTGCTGTGTGTCTGTTGTCATATTCGCTATACACTGAAAAAAAAGGATGACTGTGCCAGACTGTTTCGTCGGACTTTCACCCCCTCATCATGTGTGTGTGTGTGTGTGTGTGTGAGAGAGAGAGGGAGAGAGAGAGAGAGAGAGAGAGAGAGAGAGAGAGAGAGAGAGAGTGTGTATGTGTGGGTGGGTGGGTGAGTGGGTGTGGGTGTTTGTTGGTGGGTGGGTGGGCGTGCGGGGGTGTTGATAACATAACTGAAACATAGCAACCCGTATCATGGGAATCTCAAGGAAGATCCACTTACCTTCTATTGGCACTGTACTCCCCATCTGTACGATTGACTAATGCCACAAATCAACAGTCCTTGCCGAAAAAAAACAGAGGATCACATCAGATACGCCAAAGGAGAGAACAGGCAAGATAGATAGCGAAGAAGGGAAGAGAGGAGGGAAGGGGGATCATCAATGGCAGAGCCATCATCCTTGGCATAGTAACCAACGGAGGAGGGGTGAAGCATCTCCTAAAGCGCTTTTTGCCACTTGCGCGTGCCACGGCTCTTCAGAGGGTGAATCGTCCTCTGGCTCACAGTTGAAGGGGGGTGAGAACAGTTGGGTGACAACAAGAAGAGTACAGCGTATCGCAGGGGATTCACTTACGTGGTGCTCATTGATGTGGGCATCCGAGATGTAATCTCTCATGGCCGCCATTACTTCGGCCCAGTGGCGCAGTCGTATCACCCTCAACCAATCCCAGTATGTCTTATTGTGGAGACTGTGTCTGCTGACCATGTTCTCACCGACTGCTATGTGTGTCCACTGTTTAAGTAGTTAGCGGGACAGGCAACAGGGGAAGGATGCACGAAGGAACCTTCTTGCAGCAGTTGGCTGTGGTGGGAAATATTCCCATGCCTTAGCACTGCGAAGGTGATAGGCTATGGGAATAGGCAAGGGAGAGTAGGAGTGTGTGTGTGTGTGTGTGTGTGTGTGTGTGTGTGTGTGTGTGTGTGTGTGTGTTGGATGATCTGTTACTTATTAGTATATTTGTATGTGTATGTGTGTATGTATTTGATTGTTTGCATGTATGTATGTATGTATGTATGCGTGTGCGTGTGTGTGTATGTGTGTGTGCACTGATGGGAGCACCTCTACCACCATGTAGATTGAATTGATTCAAGGTCAATGAAGAGAAAGCGAAGGGAGGGAACCCAGTTGAACGAAAGGGAGAAATGAGGCTAAGAAGAGGAAAAGCACACGATATGAAGCAAAATGCAAATTGAAGAGGATGGTGTCACCGACCAGGTGGCTCCAAGTTGGTGTGTCTCAGTCTGTTGGAAACACGGGTAGCATAATCTTTTGGTTTACTCAGTTGGTTGGAGACAAGTCCTTGCCCCCTTACATAGACATCAGAAAAGTGCTCCTGACTATATGTAGTAATACTATGGTCCAGCACAGAGCTTCCTTTCTGTTTGTACTTATGACCATTGTTGCATGTCTATACTACAGTATCTCTATTGTGTCATTCTGCATGCATTGACCAGCTGAATGCTCGACTCTTTGTGGCATGAGATCGCTAATGCAGATATTTGTGTCATTTTGCACTCGCAGGAAGCATGGCGGACTGCTGAAGCACAGATGCGAGGAAAATGAAGCGTCATGCATTCAATTGGCAGTGGATCCTTTGCATGATGACGTCTTCGCTAGAACGCCTGGCGCTTCATCGCTCTGTACGGAGCTGTAAATCTCCACTCTGTACGGAGCTGTAAAATATCACTTCGCGGTGAAAAAAAAAGGACTTGGTCACAGACGGCACTCTGGACTTGTCTACAACTTCTCTATCAGGTCTGTTAACTTCCAGGATGTCAGTCTGCGTCTGTAAATTGAGTAGCTGTTGAAGGCTTTGCTCCACTGCCGACAACTTTTTAGACAGAGAATTTCTGTTTAAGCATGACCGACTTTTTTAATGTGAACGATGGTGTAAAATACTGTCAACCCTTCACTGTATAGGCGGTTGGTTTGGGTGCTGTGCTACACGGCGAGCCCCTGGCTTTTTGGCGTGTTTCTTCTCGGCATCCAATGAGAACATCGCCGATGTGTAATTAAAAATTTTCCACACACCTCTGTGTGTGTGTGCGTGTGTGTGTGTGTGTGTGTGTGAGAGAGAGAGAGAGAGAGAGAGAGAGAGAGAGAGAGAGAGAGAGAGAGAGAGAGGGAGAGAGAGAGAGGGAGGGAGGGAAGGAGGGAGAGAGGCAGGCCAGTGTTTGTTCTTCTTTTCTTAGGTAGTTCTTCCATTCTCTTTTCTAATGCTTTTTTTTTCGTTCCTTTTGCTTGTTCGTGGTCTTCATCTCTTTCTTTTTTTTACCTTTATTGATTTTTCACTTTCTTTTGCCCGTAATGTAAGGCTGTGTGACAGCGCTGATGTATGCTGTGTGAGGAAAGGGAAGGTGCAACCCAGGCAACAGTGAGCAACAGTCGCACATCAACATGTGGGCGTCCCGCTACAGCATGGTGTCTGCCTCAACACTCTCTGGCTCAAACCTGCCCAGGGCATTATGGATACATATGCGCTGGTGGGTGTTCCCTGGTAGTATATGTGCAATAGAGAGATGAAGGCAGGTACAGACCGTCCACCTGACCTCACATTCAAGGCAGGTGGAGTTAGCAACGAAGAGATGGTAAAAAAAAACTAAGTTTCTAGACACACAGGGCAGGTGCAGGCCATCCACCTGACCTCACATTGAAGGCAGGTACGTATTCGTAAAGCGAAACAAATTGGGTGTGGTGATTCCAGGTTGAGGTTTACACATGTTGACCCCTTTTGCTTGTGTCGCCAAGACCTGGATTTGTTTTTTATTTTTATTTTTTTTGGCCAAGACCTGGATTTGTTGCCATTGAGAATCACTTATTTCTCCACGTTTCTTTCTTATCTCCCTCAACCTGTTCTCCTTCGTCTTTTCTTCTTCATCCTTCCGCAGGTCGTTTTCTGTGCTTTCTCTTTTCTTTTTTAGCTATCACTCTGCAATCCTTTTGGGTAAAAATAGATCAAGTGTCGTATCTGTTCTGATCAGTAGAATTTTTAATCCGTGGTCCATCGGACCACATTAAAAAAAAAAAAAAAAAAAAAAGAACTCTATACGACAAAGTTTGTGGACATTGAACCATTCTCATCTTCCACGAATTATCTTAAAGCTCGATCCTTGCAGCAGCTTTGAAACCGGACATCAGGGGTGCGGTTCGGGGGTCCCAGACAAGCCGAACAAGTTGGAACATCAAAAAAAAAGTTTTCTTTTTTTTCCAGATTTTTTATTGGCGAGCGTTGTGCATGCGAAATGGAACTCACATATGAGTTGTACTTCTGGAGGGGTTATAAGGAGGGTTTTGGGGGGTCTAAAGGGGTTTAAGACTTTAAGTTCAATTTTATTTTTGTGTTCGTCCCCTAGGCTACCAGATGTCCAGGACCGGGATACACTGCGGGAGGACAGGACGGGGCTCTTGTTGTTCGTTCGAAAATTGCTGACAGCTTAATAAAATGCTAAATAGTAAAAACCAGCAATAATTTTTATATTATCCCGGATTTTATTACAGATTTGGGAGACGATAGTCATCCGAACCTTGTTTGTATTGCTATGTTCTACAAATATATTTCTTTTTTTTTTCTTTCTTTTTTTTTAGGAAAAAGACATTCAATTGTATTCCAAAAAGAACATTTCTTTTTTTTTAGGAAAAAGACATTCAATTGTATTCCAAAAAGAACTTCAACCGAGGCCGGGGAAACCTCACTCACAATTCAAACCGGAAATATCTGGCACCTTCAGCCAGTTTAGCTTTGTTCGACAGTTATAAAATTACTTCTACTCCTGCCCAATCTAAATCCGCCGGCTTCCTCAAAATAGTCATTCTCCTTATAGCCCATGCATCGTATACCTAATACCTAGTACTAATTCACAGGCCTACCGATGGCCTGACCCCGGCCCACTACGACCGAGTCCGCTGACACTCTCCTACCCATTTGAGTCCCCTGCTGCCTACTGTGGCTGCCAACAGGAACCGAGTGCCCTGGTTCGTTCCCAACGGTGTCGCCCACTACTGTACTTAACCTTACCCAGAACTACCTTCTTCCCCCAAATACAGCGTACGATCATTATAGCTGTATTTAGACCGAAAGATAGGCCAGATTTGGCTATAATGACCGTGCGTTGTATTCGGGGGAAGAAGGCAGAGAGCCGTGGCGACATAATTAACTGCCCATCCGCAGAAATCTGTGCAAAACACGAACCATTCGCCCATGTGTTCATAAACCACAGCAACCCCGTCCCTTTCCCCTTCCTCCTGTTACGTCGCCAGTCGGCCCTGATCTCGTTAGCCAGGAGGTTCTTAAACATCGGGAAAGCCTGTTTGTCCGCAACCGTTGTACCGTCAAAACACCGAGCATTCCGGTCAAAAAGACTCTTTCAGAAATTCAGAAGTTTAGTTTTTGAAAAATGATCAGGAATGAGGACAACACGAAGGACCAGATCCCACTGGGGAACAGGATTGGAATAAGTGTGTGAATCTGGACGTGTTTGTGGAGAGGTGCAAAAAACTGTGATTGATCTGCTTTTTTGCATCTCTGTGTGGAACATGTCCAGATTCAGACACTTATTCCAATCCCCTTCGCCAGTGGGATGTGGCCCGAAGTTAGTGGACGTCCGAACCACTAACATCAGTCAGTGGTCCCGGTACTTCACATTTCCTTTCTTTTTCAGAAGGGTTGCAGGTGGCAGGCGTCCTACTAGTGAGGGGGAAATAGGGTACAGCAGCAGTGGAGATGGTGGCTCTGCTGCAGTAACCTTGTCGGAGTGAGGTAAAGAGGATTGATGGGGGGGTCTCTGAGTTGTTTTCTGAATTTTGCCTATTCTGAAGTTTTTGTAGTATTTTTGTCAGGAGATAAAATTCTTCCTAGCCCCGGAATTTTAAACTTTCAAAATTCTCTCAAATTTCTATGTAAATTTCTATATGGGACGCTGGGCCTGGTTCCCAGCACGTGCTGCTCCCCACGAATAGATTGGAGCGTTGTTCCCAAAAAAAAAAAAAAAAAACCGAAAAGGATCAGACTTTCCGCATGGCACCTCCAGCCTGGTGGTCACTGGTGATTGAAACTCCCTATCACCCTAACTACCCTATACACCCACACAACTCCTTGAGGACTCGCTGGCGGTGCTTGTGAATGTTGGACTCTAACCCTTCAGTGCAGTCGATCCATCTCACTCCGCAAAGGTGGGAGATGCTTCTTTCCGTACCCAGCCCCGTGAACATCTGAACCGTCAAGGGCCCTCAGAGCCATGCTGTTACCCTGATTGAACCCGTGTGAACCTGTCAGTCCTGGTAAGTTATTTTACGACATGTCCTCCCTCCCCCCCCCCCTCCTCCAAGCGGGTGCTCCCGGCTGGCATTACAATGTTAGTCCTCAAGGGCCTCAACCATATTATGACCCCTTTTAGTGGCTGTTACCCTAATTGAACCCGTGGCCCCCAGGAAGCGGTTGCTCCCGGATACCATTAGAATGTTCTCCTAACCATATTACGACCCCTGGGTCACACCTGCCGTCATGCGCATGGCCAAGAGTGGTCCATCCTACTACAAGTGCCCCGGTTATATCTTTGCCCTTGCTCCTTCCTCTTTTTTTTTTTTTTTTTTTTTTTTTAATTTTTGTGTTTTTATTTTTTTTTTAAACAACACAACCCGAGCGGCTGCTAGGGGTGCCCCTTCCTTACTGCTATGCTACTGTCTTCCCCCGAACACAATGCACCCTCATTTTGGCTGTACCTGGCCGTCAACATTTCTGGACGTACGGAAATTAGTCCTTTCAGAAGTTGCTCTTACCATCGGTGGAAGGCCCCGTCACCTAAAGGATCAAGCTTTGTGGACTTTGGGGGTGAAAAAAAAAGGCTTTTTCCATCGGTGCAAGGAGTCTGATGCCGCTGTCTTTCTCTTTCACTGCCTGCCGGCATGATCCTTGGCCACACGGTAGAATTTAAAAGTACGGATGTTTCTCTGCCGATATAATGGGATGGGAGGTGGTCGCATATTCCTGGACACCCGTGGCTCACAGCTCCAAGTGATCGCATAAAAAGAAAGAAAAAGTTGACGGAAAGAAAAAGTTGACGGTCTGCGCTCCGTGTGCCCGCACGGTTAGCCAAAACCCAGGGGTCTGATGGGCAGCCTGCACTCAAATTTTTCATTGCAGTTTTGATTCTGCAGGTCAGGCTGCATTGTCCATGCAGAACCAGTTTTGTGATTCTCTGACTTTGAAAATTTCAAATGACATCAATGTCACATCCTAGCCCAATTTCATAAGATGCTGAGCTGTTTCGTATGTTTGTTTTTTCAAACATCGACAGAGGCCACTATCGGGGGTGATACGAGCGCCCCGAATAATAACATGTTATCCCTCAGCTGTAGATGGGGCCGGCCAGGCCCGGCCTGTACAATGCAGTGGCGTGAGGAAATATAAGTAGGGAAATTGGGCCTCGCTGCACTGCTCTTGAAATGCACAAAAGACAAAAATCATGGCCGTGTATCTTTCCATATTCTAGCGGAAGATTCACTCTCGTTTTGCACATTTCGAGAGTACTGCAGCGCGGCCCATTGAGTGTTTGTTGACTGTCCTCTATCAAAGCTCTTCAATCCAATTTGGGTATACATCCATTCGTGGAGGTCGTCAGGGCATAAAACTTGATAAAA